CGGCTGCTGGGGCTCCTGTGCTGCTCCTCGATGTGGACGGTCATCTCCTGCCGGGAGGGGGTGGAGTGCTGGCACTGCAGGCAGCTGTAGCGCCCCCTGGTGTGCTCCCAGACGATGCGGCTGTTGAAGGACTGGCCTGCGAGGGGGAGAGAGGGGGAGTGTCATCAGACCGTGTCCCGTTCCAAACCCGGATCCACCGAGTCGACTTCGCTCCTTATAGAACCTTAGAGAGTTCTGACCCAAAACCTGGAAACAGGAAACTCTGATAGATTTTGTATTTTTTTGGGGACCGAGGTGCAGCCAAACTGAAGACTAGATGATTAAGCAGTCTGATAATCCAAATTAAACAAACCCTAACTTCCTTCAGGTTAAACTGATTTACGAAGTGTTCAAATTAAGGTTTTGGGAAGAAAGGCGAAGTCCGGAAAATACAAAATCTTTTACTTTGCTTTTAGTTTTTGTCAAAGCTCGAAAATATCTTGATGAAATTCAGCAAAACCAAAAGTGACTGTGCTTCACCACCGGTTCTCTGTCAGCAACAAACGGGCTGGTCCTTCCATTATTCTGCTTCACTACTGTTCAGACCTATTTTGGAGGGAGCACCTATGTGCTGTATGGTGGCATGGCAATGACCTTTCTCCAGGCCGGCCACCTCGTGTGTAAAGTCTGCACGGTCTCTGGTCGACCGCGGGGGACGCTGAAAACTATTTACCCATAAAAAAAAAAAAATCCAGTTTTCTATATTCTGCTCTGAGCTCTGAAGGCACGGCCTCCATCAGTTTTTTTAATGAAAGATTTCCTGCAACATCGTTCTGGTATCTCGGGATCAAACGTCATATTCTATCAGAGCAGTGGCTTGGGTTTCCTACCCCTGAAGTGCTACTTTCCAGCTTTATCCAGCAGCATGAACAGAGTGCAGCCGACCTGCTGGTGCAGCACATCTATCCTCCAGTACCCTGAATCACAGTCGAGAGACGAGGACTCATATTCAGTAAGAATATAATACACTGGGGTATATGGCACAGAATACAGTGGTATATGTTAGTAGGCGGGACTGGAAACCCTCCTGACTGCTCTCTTCACGCTGCTGGGTACATTTCCTTCCTTTTGTAGCAAGTGAACACCGCAGGCTTGTGACAAAGGGCTGTGGTGCACCTTCACAGCAGCTGATGTGCTTGATTAAGAGTGTGGCTTGTCAGACGCTGCAGGTGGGCTCACTCCCGGCACAACGCAAGGCCATTCTAGCTGTCAGGTGGGCACTTCCAGAGGGTGTGGGAGGCCTGTGTGCTGCACTGGGGGGTGTAAGCAGGAAGGGCTGGAAGGCCAGAGGGATGCACTGCTCCAGGGGGAGGGCGCTCAGTCCCCTGGAGCACCACTCTGCCGCACGGATTTCAAGCGTACGGCACAACGTTACCGTGTCTCACCTGGGAATCACCTGTACTTATACTCTGACCCTGGGGCGGACTGTCCCGGCTGTGGAAAAGGTGTCTGGACACGTCTGGCGGGACAGGGCGTACACGACAAAAGAAAAAGTTTGCTTAAATGGCGATCTGAAGGCAAGCCGACAGATTTGAACTGTTTGCACCGTTTTTGCGAAGGAAAAAAAAAATCAGGATTTGTACATTCTGGAGCAATTTAAGCAATTTCTGGTGACTTCTAGCCAGCGGCATCAACACACGGAAACGGACCATCGCGACGAAGACACGAGCGCAAATCTCGCGGCGCGCTCACCAGAAGCAAGACAAGCCTCACCCTGGTTCTTCTTCCAGACGGCGTTGGAGCCGGGCAGCCCCGGCGCGCTGGGGCCCAGGACGCGGAGGCGCTGATGCACCGCGGCCTGGGGCAGCGCCAGCAAGCCGGGGGGCGCGTAGG